GACCCGGGGACTGAAGAGGTGTTTGCCTTCGATTTGCCGTGTCCGCAACCTTTGGTGGGGCGGCCACCATCCCGGGTGGCTGCTAATCTTTCTCCCTCGTCAGATGTATCAGCCTCGTTTAAAGAGTCGCTCGGCGTTGTTGCCGCGACCACGACCACTTTCTGCCGATGTTGATCTCTGCCCAGGCCTGCAAAGGACGAACGACCAGCATTGCAAGCTTCCGTATTCGTCACTATAATCTGTGAGGCATTGTTAAATAATTGCTTAGTTGTGGTGAGCGTTTCCATGACTTGCATCAATGCATTCTGCAATGTGGGGCACGACCTCATGATGAAGTAGTGTTTGATGCCCGTAAAGGGGATCGACAAGTCGGGCATGGATGCCAAGCGTTGGTACTCGGTGATCCAATATGTGCTTGGCAAGTTCTGATGGAACTTCTGCAACTTCTCCATTGCCTGAAGCTCGGGCGGAACTGCGTGTGCCAAGCTGCCATGAGATCAGCGCAAGTGATCTTTGTGTGCAGCTTGGAGACAGTGACCTTGTGCATGGACAGCATGTTCTCAAGCCAAGCTTGACACCCCCCCCCCCGACCGGTGATTTAAATGGGCATGTCAGTTGGGGTCGCTAACTTTGTACAAGTCCAAACGCAGGTCAAATTTGCGCCACCATGGAATAGGCTCGGTCTTCGCTGCATCGTAGAATGCCATGATAGCCCAATGGTTAGGGCAACGGTTGGAAATGCACATGTGGCCAGAGGGCGTGGGTTCAAAACTCCACGGCCTTGTGCATATGCCGCCGACAGGCGTTGGTCAGGACGCACATGCCATTCGCACACTGAGTGTAGCAACCAGGCGCTCTTAAGGGTGCAGGTAACTGGATAAGGTCCAGTTTGTCTGGGTTTGCGGACTACGTGCGGCACCTTGAGCGCCGTAACGGTTGCTATTACTCCTCTCGGGGTTGTTGAGACCATGGGGGGATTCAGCCCTGAAAGGGGTGGACTCAGTGGTGATGGCGTTCCGCCAGGAGCGATCGGACGACCCCCCCCCTAGCAGGGCCGATCGTCCCTTGCGGCACCCCTGTGGCTGTGGTGCATCAAGCCTCCCGGCAGGGGTGCAACGGGGGATGAGAGACCCTAAGTTCGGGGGGGCTGCTCCGAGCCGCAGGCGCGCAGGTAGCACCATACCTGTGACGAAACTGGCGGTGAGTGTGGGTATGGTTGAGGTGGCTTCCTCTCTGTCGACGAGCTGGCTGAGCCTGGTACGTGCAGCTTCTCGTCGGCTCCCCAATCACGGCTGAGTTCCCGACACCTCTACAAACCTTTTAAAAAAAAAAAGAAGATCGGAATGCCATCGAATTTGGGTATGCGCTCGTGAGATGACTTGGCCGAATTGGCAGCTGCTGCACAAATCTGCTGCTCGAACTGTCGATTGGTCGTTTGCTGCTGCTGCGTCGTGTCCTTCAGAGCGCCCATGTCCAGCTCCGATTTGTTGACGTGTTCCGGGATGTTGGAGGGGCCAACGGCGGTTGCTGCAACAGGCTGCTGTTCCAAAGTGTGTACGCAAATGAGCAATGACTGCACGTGCAGGTCCAATGTGAGGATGTCCTCTTGCTGGGCCATGCAGGTAGCTACCAAGTCACGATCCGTTTGATGACCGTGAAGTTGCGTACGGTCGCGGAGGCACCCTCCTTGGCC